CAATTTGTTATGGATACGTCGATCAAATCATTGTTTACAAGTTTTGTCTGTGCACATTAATCAACTTCACTTATGCATTATTATTTTATTGACCCATGTACATCGACAGTATACCGCTATGGTTACTTCCCAACGTTTTCGCCATCTACCATGCGCCACGGTGCGCCTGACTTCCTGAATGAATGAATGAACGCTGGCTATCACATGCAGCCAAACGTTCTGTGAGAATCAGACATAATGTGTTCACACATTATTGTCACACTGGGCCTGGCGTTGGTCACTGTCAGTTAGGCCAAATATGCAACCTTAACGTATGCTCTCCTACATCCTGTTGTTCCGTCCTCATCCTTCAGTCTGGTCGGATGGATCGTCAGACTATTTAGCCGATGTGTAACTTCAGATCACGTAGTTGGCCATGGGATGAGAACAAAATGGAGTCTTGCTCGTTCGCCTTTCTCATTTGGACGTTTTAAACACTATTTTCTACTGCTCGGTGTCGGCGTTGCGCTGTTAGGGCTGTCCCCCTTCTATTCTATTCCTCTGCTTGTCCATATTTTGTCATTTTGCATCGACCTATTCCGGCGGCCAATGTGGTTAAGGCATTCCATTTGCTTATTTTGAATAATATGTAATTTGTCTGTCTGCAATTTGAATGACTATGTGTGAAGCTTTATTTGTGCCTGTGTTCTCCTTTTGGAAGAGCTGGCATTTACCCAGAAGTATCGTTTTCTAATCATATTCAGCCTTAGCTACTGGATTCATTTGGCCGCCAAATTGGAGGTATGCTTTTTTATTTTATGTACATCCTCCATCTGATATTGCCAATATTTCCTCCATTCTTGTCGGGCATTTGAAAGTTGTTGTGTATGAGTCTTTTTTCGCATTTGCCACCTCATTATGGCTATTCGGTTTCGTCCTTTTCGGTGTTTACTCTTGGCGAGGCTACCTTTGCCTACACCCGTGCGAGCCTCCTTCACCTCAGCCCGTCCTGGCCTACACTGCGCCTAGCCTGGTGCACCCTTGTGAGCCTCTATACATGTGTACCGTCGTGAGCCTCGTTCAAATTTACTGCCTTCTCAATGCCGCCTGACTGGCTGCCTCGTAGCCTGAGACGCGCTCTACTTCACATGTGACTGTCTTGCAGCCAGCCACCTCTACTGCCCCCTCACCGTATCGATTAATTGCCACTAACCCCGTCAACTTGCCGCCCGCTCCAGTGCGTTCGTTGTGTCTGTCATCTTTCGCTCGCTCGCTGGCTCGCTGGCTCGATCACTCGTTGGCTCACTCTTTCCTTCGGCGGCTAACACAATTGCACACACACACCCACACACCGACAAGCACTCTCTCCATCTCCGCCTCTCGTCACCTCTGCCCTCTCGGGCCCGACTCCAACTGAGCCGCCTGCCTTCATCACACGACCAGCCGTTCAGCCAACCAGACAGACAGACAGACAGTCAACTGGCCGGGCTTGAGTGCCGATTATGGAGGGGTCGTGTCGACACGATGTTGAGTGGGGTGGGGTGGGGTGGGGCAGGGGAGGGGGCTGTTTGCGCGCTGTCCGGACTCGGGCTTGGGTCCGTGCTGCCTGGTCGACGAGTTATTGGCGTGGCGGCGATTGACTCGTCTCGTCTCGTCTCGTTTTGTGGGGTCAATCAATTTCTGTATCAGTTTCTCCCTCTCTTTTTGTCTTGCTTTCTTTCTCTCTCTCTC